TTACCCCAAAGATACAAATGTAGGGATCTGAAGGGGTATGTACACCCTGATGTTTATAGCAGCAATGTCCACAATAGCTAAACTATGGAAAGAGCCAAGATGTCCATCGACAAATGAATGGATAAAGAAGATGTGGTATTTATATACAATGCAATATTATGCAGCCATCAAGAGGAATGAAATCTTGCCATTTTCAACGACGTGGATGGAACTGGAGGGTATTATGCTGAGCAAAATAAGTCAATCAGAGAAAGACATGTTTCTGTTGCATTTCTATACATCATTAAAGAAGCAGCAGAAAAAGAAATCAAGGAATTAATCCTATGTACAATTGCACCAAAAACCATGAGATACCTAGGAATAAACCTAACCAAAGAGGTAAAAGATCTGTTCTCTGAAAACTATAGAACACTTATGTAAGAAATTGACAACGACACAAAGAAATGGAAAAATATTCCATGCTCATAGACTGAAGAAAAAATATTGTTAAAATGTCTATACAACCCAAACACTCTACATATTTAATGCAATCCTTACCAAAATACCAACAACATTTTTCCCAGAGCTAGAATAAACAATCCTAAAATTTGTATAGAACTACAAAAGATTACTATAGCCAAAGAAATCCTGAAAAAGAAAAGAAAGCTGGAGCCATCAAATTCTGGACTATACTACAAAGCGGTAGTGATCAAGATGGTGTGGTCCTGGCACAGAAATAGACACATAGACCAATAAAATAGAATAGAAAACCCAGAAATGAACCCACAACTATATGACAATTAATCTTTGACAAAGCGGGAAAGAATATCCAATGGGAAAGAATCTCTTCTACAAATGGTGGGAAAACTGGACAACTACATGCAAAACACAACATACACAAAATAAATTCAAAATGGATGAAAGACATAAATGTGAGACCTGAAACCATAAAAATCCTAGAAGCGAACACAGGCAGTAATTTCTTTGACATTGGCTATAGTAACCTCTTTCTAGATATGTCTCCTGAGGCAAGGGAAACAAAAACAAAAATAAATCGTTGGGACTACCTCAAAATAAAAAGTTTCTGCACAGTGAAGGAAACAATCAACAAAACTAAAAGGCACCCTAGGGAATGGCCGAAGATATTTGCAAATGACATATCTGATAAAGGGTTAGTATCCAAAATATATAAAGAACTTATAAAACTAAACACCCAAAACAAATAATTCGATTAAAAATGGGCAATGTGAATAAACATTTCTCCAAAGAAGATATAAAGATGGCCAACAAACACAAAAGACAACCGACAGAATGGGAGAAGATATTTGCAAATGACATATCTGATAAAGGGTTAGTATCCAAAATATATAAAGAACTTATAAAACTAAACACCCAAAAAATTAATAACCCAATTAAACATGGGCAGAAGAGGTGAATTGACATTTTTCCAGTGAAGACATACAGATGGCCAACAAACACATGAAAAGATGCTCAACATCACTCATCATCAGGGAAATGCAAGTCAAAACTACAATGAGATATCACCTCACACCTGTCAGAATGGCTGAAATAAAAAACACAAGAAACAACGAGTCCTGGGAATGATATGAAGAAAAATGAACCTTGTGCACTGCTGGTAGGAATGCAAACTGATCAGCCACTATGGAAAACTGTATGGGAGTGTCTCAAAAAAATTAAAATTGTACTATCCTACAATCCAGTAATGGCACTAGTAGGTATTTACCCAAAAGATACAAAAACACTAATTTGAAAAGATACATGCACCCCTATATTTATTGCAACATTATTTATAATAGCCAAACTATGGAAGCAGCACAAGTATCTATTTATAGATAAATGGATAAAGAAGATGTGGTATATACATATACAATGGATTATTATTCAGTCATAAAATAAAGTGAAATTTTACCATTTGCAATGACATGGATGGAGCTAGAAAGTATTATGCTAAGCAAAATAAGTCAGTCAGAAAAAAACAAATACCATATGATCAGTCATATGTGGAATTTAAGGAACAAAACAAATAAGCAAAGGGAATAAAAAATGAGAAAGAGGCAAGCTAAGAAACAGATCCTTAACTATAGAGAACAAACTGATGGTTACAAGTAGGGAGGTGGGGAAAATGGGTGGAATAGATGATGGGGTTTAAGGAGTACACTTATAAGCAGAAGGTGTTGTATGGAAATGTTGAATCACTGTATGATACACCTGAACCTAATATTACATTGTATCTTAACTAACTGGAATTTAAATAAAAACTTGAAAATCACTAACTCGATAAATAAATAAATTTATGGTAGACTTTGCATTAAAATTTTGGTAAAGTTTTGCTGTATATCTTAAACCTAATTCTCTATGTCCTCATGTGAGTTCCTCAATTAGCCTTTTTTTTTTTTTCCTGTTAATGCTCCGTGCTTATACTGGGCACCTCTATATATCTTTCCATGGGAAGGAATAGATCTGGAAAAATCTTAGGAGGACTGATAAATATTTTTGTTCTGTTTCTTTTTTCTTAAGATTTTTATTTATTTATTTGAGAGAGTGGTGAGAGAGCTCACAGAGGGAGAGGGAGAAGCAGACTCACTGAGATCATGACCTGAGCTGAAGGCAGACACTTAACTGAGCCATCCAGGCGCCCCTTTGTTCTGCTTTCTATGGTGAAATAAAACATCAGGGCTACCAAGAGGCTGAGAACTTCAACTAATGTTTATCTAAATAATCTCAATGAGATAACTGTGCCTAAAGAAGGGAGAAACATTACTGTCTTTTTTACTAAGGAGTAGATGTAGAGGTAATCTAAGGGCTTTATTTGGTAGACAGTCTATGCTGTGAACTAGCCACTTTTCCTAGATCAACACAGAGAGGTTTTTAATAGACTTGTTTCTCTGAATTTATTTTTCTTAGTTTAATTTTTTCACATTTTTAGAATATTGAATTTTTTATTTTATTCAAAACCGATTAATTAACATATACTGTATTATTAGTTTCAGAGGTAGAGTTTAGTGATTCATCAGTTGCATATAACACCGAGTACTCATCACATCATGTGCCCTCCTTAATGCCCATCACCCAGATACCCCATCCCCCCCTCCACTCCAGCTACCCCCAGTGTGTTTCCTATAGTTAAGAGTCTCTTATGTTTTGTCTCCCTTTTGATCATAAAAAAAAAACATGTTAATTAGAGAAAATACATGCAAATACAGTGAAAATTTTTGAAATAATCCTACCTCTCAGTAATCCTACCTCTCACTTCTTAAAATAGGAGTGGGTGAATATTTTTGCCAGTGTTTTCTCTTTGTATATATGCAGGTGTGTGTGTGTATTTGTATGTGTTCACATACACTTGCCTTTTCAAAAAATTAGAAATGTACTATATTTATAGTTTTATATCATGTATTCAAAAATTACTTTTATCATTTTTTCTCTTATTACAACCAGCAATACAAGTAAAAAATATTTAAATATAAATAAGAAAATTGAAAAAATAAGTATCAAAATAAGTAAAATTAGACAAAAGGAAAAAAATAAAATTGCCTATAATTCCATCCAGAAATAATAATGTCAATGTTTTGGTATAAATAATGTCAGTCTTTTCATTGTAAATGAAAATGTACACATTTCCTTTTATAAAATGAAGATCATAGGGGTGTCTGGGTGGCTCAGTTAGTTAAGCCTCCAACTCTTGGTTTTGGCTCAGGTCATGATCTCAGGGTCATGATATGGAGCCCTGAGGTGGGCTCCATGCTTAGTACAGAGTCTGCTTGAGATTCTCTCCCTCTCTCTCGCTCCTTCTCCCTTTTCCCTCCCCCACTTGCACTCATACTCTCTCTCTAAAAAATAAATAAATAAAAATAAAATAAAATTAAGATCACAGTGTACCTACATAGTAGATTTTGTCACCTTTATTTGTTCACTTTCCAATAGATGAATATTTCCCTTATTTTTTTTAAAGATTTTATTTATTTATCCGAGAGAGAGAGAATGAGAGATAGAGAGCACGAGAGGGAAGAGGGTCCGAGGGAGAAGCAGACTCCCCGCTGAGCAGGGAGCCCGATGTGGGACTCGATCCGGGGACTCCAGGATCACGACCTGAGCCGAAGGCAGTCACTCAACCAACTGAGCCACCCAGGCGCCCAATATTTCCCTTATTATCAACTATTCTTGTCCTTAATTTTTATAGTATTTATTGGAGGAATAGGTCCTAAATGAAACAATCCTCTGTTGTTAAGCATATAAGTTGCTTCCATTTTTTTTCCAATTACAAACAGCACAGTAGTGGCTATCCCTGTATTTGCACCTATCCACACTTATTTCCTAGAATGCATTGTTAGAAGTACAATTGCTTTATCAAAGCATATATGATGTGAATTTATCATTTGTGTATTTATTTATTTTTAAAAATTTTACTTATTTATTTGACAGAGAGCTAGAGAGCACAAGCAGGGGATGCAGCAGAGGAAGAGGGAGAAGCAGACTCCCCGCTAAGCAGGGAGCCCAATGCGAGGCTCAATCCCAGGACCCTGGGATCATGACCTGAGCTGAAGGCAGATGCTTAACTGACTGAGCCACACAGTCTTTTTAAAATAAAGAATTATTTAAGTGATCTTGAGAAAAGCATCCTCAATGAAGTTTTGAGGAATGAAAAATGAAATCATAGTGTACCTTTTTTTGTTTTCCATAGAGGAGTCCAGTGAAGTTCCAAATGAGGCAAGGGCTCATAAGGAGGAGGACCATCATGCAGTATCTGCAGATAATGTGGTACGTATATTTTGAAATTCTTTCCTCATGATAGATTCTTTCCTACATGATGGATTTAAAGGATATGTTTACAGTTGGTAATAATATCGGTGTTACCATAATTAAATCCTGTGCCGCTTCACAAGCCAAAACAAGGCTGTCACCCATGAAATTATATATCTTTGAGGGTTTAAGAAATGAAATTTAAAGCACTGTCATTTGTGCCTCAAATTTTTTTGACTGAAGAGATTTGCAAATATAAAAATCTAATGCTTACTACATATAGACATTTTATACAAATATTATTTTTCTTCAACATATTTAGCAAAGGGCAGATTTCTTTGCATTTAACATATGGAAGAATTAAGACTGAGGTTAGACTGCCATAATGAAAGAAGCCTTTGTTAGTTCTAGGACTTGTATCTAAGGAGTCCTGATTCAGAGTTCTCTGTTCAGACCATACCTATCTCTATGTTTGGAACATTTCCTTCTTTCTAGTTGAATTAAACTCTCTTAGTCTTCTTAAAAATTGCACTGATGGAGGAAAGACAATATTAAAAGACTGTATAACAGGTAGAGACAGACTATATGTGGATTAAACTGGGCTTTGTGAAAATGTAAACATTATTGGTATATAGAAATGTTCTCTAAGCAGCTGTTTTAGCAGCATCTGTTTGTATCCTGACTCCATCAAGTAATACAGAAATCAAAATAGTATTAAAGTCAAACATAAAGACAAATGCCATTTTGTTTTTTCTTTGAAATCAGTGATTTTTGCTTGATTGCAATCTTTAAAGAAAATCCCTATAATGGATTTTTCTGTTACAAAATGAGTGTAACTTCATTTACTCTGGCTTCCATTACAAACATTATTTATATGACACTATAATTCTGCCACATCTCCTTAATAAAAGTTGAACACATAAAATACAGTTTTGCTCTTATTTATTAAGCGTCAACAATTTATAACAGTATTTTCCACATGCAGAATATAGTTTAGGATAACATTTTATTGATTTCAGTCCTGATTTCAACTGATGTTTGACCCTACTAACACAACTCAATAGGCATATAGGAAAACAAACTTTGATTTTGATGTAATGTTTTCATTAGGTAGCTAGTAATAATTATTTCCACAATTAGTTGTGTTAATCTTCTTAAATTCCATGAAATAATAACCTCCTCTGCTCTAGATTTGAATTATAGTAAACAAGTTATATACAATTATTTACAAATTAAAATTTTTTCTGTAAACACATGCTCATTTTTAGTCTAAATTTCTCTGCATTGGATCTCCCCTCAGCAGACATTTGGAAATAATAAATGAAATAATGGCATGGGATGACCTAAGTCACTTAGGCACCTAATTTTTGAAAAAAAAAAAATTCATTTTTAGAGACAGAACTTCAAACCTTCAAAGGCCCATCTCCTCTGCCTATAACTTTTGAGTACCCCCATAAATGGCAAATCACAAAATATTTAAGGCTGATTTATATAGAGTGGCCTTTGGTGCTTTCTTCTTATCTCCTTTTCCCCAGAACTGATCCAAACAGAGAATCTAAAAAATGTTTTAGAAAGTATCAAATCAGGTCTGGTGAAAACATACATGATTAAACCCCAAGTTTATAGTGATTTTAATAATAAAAAAATTAGATTCATCTCCAGTCAGGAGTAGAAAACAATTTCATTGCAGTTATCCTCTTGACTCAGAAACCTACAGGTCACACACCCTGTTATGGTTACATATCCTCATAGGCAATGTATTAAGTATGATCATTCCAGGTATGTTTGGAACTTTTTAAAAATTGTTATTCAAATTCCAATAATACATTATATGTTTAAAAAAAGAAGATAGCAGGAAGGGAAAAATGAATGGGGGAATCAGAGGGGGAGAAGAACCATGAGAGACTATGGACTCTGAGAAACAAACAGGGTTCTAGAGGGGAGGGGGCAGGGGGATGGGTTAGCCTGGTGATGGGTATTAAAGAGGGCACGTACTGAATTCAGCACTGGGTGTTATAAGCAAACAATGAATCATGGAACACTACATCAAAAACTAATGGTGTAATGTATGGTGATTAACATAACAATAAAAAATTAAAAAAAGAAAAACACTAATGATGTAATGTATGGTGATTAACATAACATAATAAAAAATTCCAATAAATTAACATAGAGTATAATATTAGTTTTCAGTGTACAATATAGTGATTCAACACTTCCATACAACATATCATTCCAGGTATGTTTGGGACTTTTTAAAAATTGTTATTCAAATTCCAATGAATTAACATACAGTATAATATTAGTTTTGGGTGTACAATACAGTGATGCAACACTTCCATACAACACCAGTGCTCAAATATTTAGAACTGATTTTGGTTTTGGTTTTGCTTTTTAAAAAAACAATGTTCCATGATTAGAGAACGTTCCTTACTCCCATGGTTGGAGTTTACTGGTCATTCTTCACATCAGCAATAAGCTGTTTTGTTCACTCTTTTGACAGATATTTAATTAGTACCTACTGTGTGCAAAATACTTTACAAACTATGTTGCACCTTAATTCTTAAAGCTAATGACAGTTAACATCTATCTCTCTCTCCCTTCTTATTGTCCAGTGAAGGAAGAAAATCACCAGTTTATTTTTATTATTACATCATAAATGTCTGCTTTCAATTGTCTAGCTAATGGAGTGCATTAAATAAGTGACTTAAAAAATTCTATTTGACTTTGGAATGTATGTCACATGTTGATATTTTACATTAGAAGTTGTAAGGAAGTACATGGTAATTAAAAAACAAAACAAACAAACAAACAAACAAAAAAACCTTGCAACAAAGCAGTTATGGTTAGCATTAAAAAGACTACTCTCACAGGAAGTGAGGTTCCTGTCACTGGAGGGTACTATTTAAGCAGAATTCAAATGCCTATTTTTTCAGAAATATTGTGAGAGATTTTTTATGTTTAAATAGTATTATAATATTTTTCTATTTAATAAGTTGTCATCAATTAAAGGTAGTTAAATGTGGCTCAGACACACACTGGATATAACAATGAAGAACCAGTCAGCTATCAGAGTTTATTCTGGATAACCTAGAATAGATAACCCCATCATTAAAACTAAACATTCAATGTTTATGTTCTATACATTGCTGGGTGTAGTGATGATGATCAGATATATATTTATGAAAATTTCTCTACTTGTGTTACAGAAAATAGAAATTATTGATGATGAAGAAAGTGACATGATAAGTAATTCTGAAGTTGAACAAGTGAATTCTCTCTTGGATTATAAGGTGAAAGTAATTTCAAATACTGAATTCATTAAGAGAAGGTACTAAATGAGGCATACTTTTACAGTGCCAATGTACTAGCTTATTTCACTTTCAGTTTTATTTGATAAGTTAAAAGTGGGGCTCCCTATTGACTTTCTCAGGCACTTGGGTATCAGTCAGGATATGGATACTTTAATTCTGGCTGGTTTAGTGGTTATTGTTTTAAGCAACAAACTTGCTGAATGGGAGTAAGTATTGATAGTGTACATCAGGGTGAGGCAGGACATGGTGGTTAATGTGAAATTTATGACAGTGGCTTTAAAGCTAATGTTTATTTTTAAATGGTGGTAAAGGGGAGATATTTTTTCTCAGTGGCCCTTGTTAATTTTATCTTCAATTACAACTTCTGAAGACCATTTTTTAGGAAACCTGTTTTAGAAGTTTAAAAACAATTCCCAAAGCAAATACCAAATGAATATAAAGAGAGATGATCTTTTCTTAAAGTCACTCGTACCTAAACTGAAAGGCTTACTTTGAGAGTGTGCATACATAATTTTATTAAATTTTGACATGAGCTATCTGTCTATATCAATATTTGTTTTCTGCATAGATATGCAATTGTTATCCTTTGTTAATCAATATCCTATCATACTAGGTAACTTTGGGCCTTCTGAAATTTTGGCCAAACAATCATTCTATCCATACACAAAAGCCCTTTTCTTGGAATATTGTAAGTGTTCAAAGCAGAGACTAATAATCTTAAAATGTTTACAGAAAATAACAATCAGAAAAGACAATAGCTGTCATTTTCTCAAAAATATTTTCAATTTCACCATAATTGAAAGTTATGTCATTCAACAGATTGTTTCCTAAATGTTTATAACATGTCAGACTTTATAATATTGAATATTGTAAACAGAAGACAATTATCTTTTGAAATTTATTTGATAAATGTTCAAAGAGCACAGTATAATCCTGTATTTAAACTGTATTTCCAACTAATAAAATTATAAGGTTGTTATTTCTGAACTACAAGAGATCATTCTAATCTCTCCTATATGGTCATAAAATATTTCTAAATGCCCAGTTCAGGTTTAAAAGGGCTCTGTGCCACTTGGCACACATTATGGAAACTACAGAGGTGAGGACTGGATCGCACAGCTGTTAAGTATTCTCCACTTAGCACTCTCAAAAAGATCAAAGGGGGTTGGGCTCAGAACAAAGGATACTTTCCAGAACCTTACCCTTCTGGAGTGCCACTTGAGAAGGTTTGGAGCTAAAGACCAGGGTAGGGTAAAGTATCCAATCCCAAAAATGCTAATTAACGTTTTAATTGAACTCTACAGGATATTTAATGATCCTGTGTTTTCCACTGTGGTAAATGCTGTGGGAACAAGGAGTCCTTAACTACCCTATCAGGAATGTCTTTGACAACACATCACCATCCTACATAGATTTATTTCCTTTAACTCTAAAAAATTAGCACCTATATAGAAATATATTTTTTCATAATCATTATCAAAAATACTTCACCTCATGTGTGAATTGTATTGCCTTAGTTCTAAAGTCAGGACAAATTAGTAAAAGAGAGACAGTGGCAGACTAGGAGAGTCCTGAGCTCGCCTCTTCCCACAGACACACCTAGGCAACACTACATCTAGGCAACTAATTCTGAAAACAACATGAACATTAGCAGAAGAGACATTCCACAGCCAGTCTTAGAGAGAAAGCCACATTGAAAAGGGTAAGGGGCCAGAGATGCAGTTGGGAACCAAACTCCCTGTGTGACTAAACACAAACAAGTGGGACATCACAACAATAGAGAAGTGAGAGACTCAGACCCCACACAGGGCACTATTGGCACTGGAGACACACAATGGGAAGACAAGTCCACATAATGTCTGACTTTGAAAACCAGCAGTCTTTAACTCTGGGAACTTTAAAAATCAGTAAGTTTAATGCCAGGAAAGCTGGAGGTTGATGGGAAACCAAATACCTACCCTTAAAGAGCCAGCATATTAGTAATATAAATGGGACCAAGACACAGCACAGAAACAGCAGTTTGAAAAGTGAATGGGTTATACATGAAAGAGATTTATTGAGTAATCTTAGAACATGTGCTGAAAGGACAAGTATCTGCAAATTTCTACAAGAATGAAAATGTAAGCTGTCACATATTTCTTTCCCTCCCCCAGTGTAAATTGCCAGAGGCTTAAAAGAACCATTTCTAATACTCTCCATCTTCCTTGCCAGCACCAAGAGCTTTACCCTGGAATTCCTTGCCAGCACCGAGTGCTTTACCCTGGAATTCCCCTACACCCAACCTACCTGCCATGGTAGGCACAACTTCCAAAGCTGCTCCTGCCCTACCACACCTGTTATGCAGCTTAGGCCCACACCAGTGCCACTCCAAAGTGACTCCAGCCCTGGGGAAGGGGTAACAAACCCACACACCAGGCACCCACAGTTCCTTTAGTTAGGCCTTTTAACTGCATATATAGGGACTGAGCCCTGCATTTCTGTGCAGTTTTGGCAGAGAGGCTAATAGCACACTGCTAGGATGTATAACGGCCTCACCCACCAACCAGTCCTACCAGGCCTCAGCCAGGACTCTCAAAAGTGTGTTCACAGAGGGTGAAGTGGGCCATTGCAGATATCTGGACTAAAGGTAACTATGGCTCAGCCACAAGAGAAGGGTACATACAGCCCACACAGGGGACACCTTTGGGGCACCTGGTTCTGGTGACTTGGGGACACTGCACTATAGGGTACCACAGGACCTCTTCTACACAAAGCTACCATTTTCAAAATCAGAAGATGTAGCTGACTTACCTAATACATAGAAACAAACACAGAGAGTTAGACAAAAAAAGGAGACAGAGGAATATGTCCCAAATGAAAGACAAAATCACAGTAAAAGAGCAAAATGAAACAAAGATAAGCAATATGCCTGATAAAGAGTTCAAAGTAATGGTCATAAAGATACTCACTAGACTTGAAAAAGAGTGGATAAACCCAGTGAGAACCTCCAAAAAGAGACAGAGAATATAAAAGAATGAGTCAGAATTGAAGAATTCAATAGCTGACATGAAAAACACATTAGAGGGAATCAACAGCAGATTAGAGAATGCAGAAAAATGGATTAGCAATCTGGAAGGCAGGATAATGGGAAGTAACCAAACTGAACAGCAAAAAGCAAAAGGAATAATGAAAGAGAATAGGTTAATAAAACAATGCAACACGAACAAGCATAATAATATTCACATTATAGAAATCCCAGAAGGCGAAGAGAGAGAGAAAGGGGCAAAAAAATTTATTTGAAAAAAATAATAGCTGGAAAATTCCCTAACCTGGGTAAGGAAACAGAAATCCAGTACAAGAAGTAAAAAGTGCCCCAACAAGATGAACCCAAGGAGGTCCACACCGAGACACATAATAATTAAAATGGCTAAATGTAATGATGAAGAGAGAATTTAAAAGCAACAAAAGAAAACAGTTACAAACAAGGGAAACCCCATAAGGCTATCAGCTAATTTTTCAACAGAAACACTGCGGGCCAGAAGGGATTGGCATGATATATTCAAAGTGATAAAAGGGGAAAAAAAACATACAATTTAGGATAACCTACCCAGCAAAATTATCATTCAGAATTGAAGGGAAGAGAAAGAGTTTCCCAGACAAAAGAAGTTAAAGGAATTCATCACCACTAAACCAACTTTACAAGCAATGATAAAGGAAATTTTTTGAGTGGAAAGAGAAGGCCATGACTAGAATTAAGAAAATTAAGAAAGGAAAGAATTTCACAGGAAAAACAAACATTTAATGAAAGGCAGATTAGTCACTTATAAAGCCAGTATGGAGGTTAAAACACAAAAGTAGTAAAATCAATTGTGCCTAAAATAATTAATTAAGGGATACACAAAATAAGATGTAAAATATGACATCATATACATAAAACGTGGAGGACGGAGTAACAATTTAGTGCTTTTAGAATGTGTCCAAACTTAAGCGACCATCAACTTATTATAGACTGCTATACATATAAATTTTAATATATGAATGCAATGGTAACCTCAAGTCAAAAAATTACAACAAACAAAAAATAAAGGGAACGGAAAATAAACATAACACTAAAGAAAGCCATCAAAACATAAGGGAAGTAAATAAGAAGAATGGAACAGAGAAGAACTACCAAAACAACCAGAAAACAATTTTTTAAATGGCAATAAGTACATACCCATTAATAATTACTCTAAAGGTAAATGGACCAAATGCTCCAATCAAAAAGCATAGGGTGACTGAATGGATAAAAAAGCAAGATCCGTCTATATGATGACTACAAGACATTTACCTCAGAACTAAAGGCACATGCAGATTGAAAGTGAAGGAATGGAAGAACATTTACCATGCCAATGGAAGTAAAAGAGAAAGCTGGGGTAGCACTACTTATATCAGACAAAATAGGCTTTAAAACAAAGACTATAACAAGAGACAAAGGACACTACATAATGATAAAGGGGACAATCCAACAACAGGATATAACTATTGTAAATATTTATGCATCCAACATAGCACCAAAATACATAAAGCAAATATTAACAGACATAAAGGGAGAAATTGACAGTGATACAACAATAGCAGAGGACTTTAACACCCCACTTGCATCAATATATAGGTCATCCAGACAGAAAATCAACAAGGAACCTGGCTTTGAATGGCACTTACTCCAGATAAACCTGATGGTCATTTCCAGAACATTCTATACAAAACCCGAGGAACACACAATCTTTTCAAGTGCACATGACACATTCTCCAGGATAGGTCATATATTAGGCCATAAAAGAAGTCTCAATAAATTTTAAAAGATCAAAATAATATCAAGCATGATATTAACAACAATGGTATGAAACTAGAAATCAATCACGGGGAAAAAAACTGGAAAAAACACAAGCACGTGGAGGCTAAACAACACGCTACTGAACAACCAATGGGTCAATGAAGAAATCAAAGGCAATTAAAAA